GGTAATACTAAACAGCCATTGTTGCCAGCTGACTTTTTCTCCCCATCGCTGAGTTTCGAATCTTGAAATGGCAGAGCCATCAACACCCTAAGTCATCATTGGCGCTTCAGAAGCAACAGGGTTGGATCCCATGTCGAACCAACATTTTTATTTATCAACTATATCGGAAACAAACCAAAAATTTTGATATATCAGGAGGTGTTGAGTTATTTGCTCACATGTTTGTCATCCCGTCGACATTCCAACAGCTTTCAGAGCGTCCAAATCATATTTTCTCATGATTCTGGATTGTACCTAGGTAATACAATCCTTTTGACACAGGAAATTGTAAAGATCTTCATTTGGATCTGAAAAACGGTATCCTGAGCAGCATGGATAGCCCAAGCTCATCACTCTTCCTTCGCAGGAATGTCCTTTTCCACCTTCTTGAAGTGCTTTTTTGCAGTCCTGGGCAGGTGAATAAGTATTGGATCCCCAACCATCTTTGGCTCGTCACATCTAGCTGACTGGCAGACTGAAAGGAGTTTGGGCGAAAGAAAGTGCTGGCCGGAGTATTGCAGAGCTTGAGGTCGTCACCGAATCTTGGCTTCACTTTGCGATACTTTGGTGCACCTAGGCTAAGAGAAAAGTGGAATGCTGATCAAAATAAAATCGTGTTCCAAAAAAGTTGCATGGTTGACCATTGCAATCCCAGGAGTAAATTCCAATGAGCCACTCAAAGGTGGAAAGTTTCATGGCCTTCTCAGCTTCGCGTTCCCACCTTGCAGGCATGTTTTGGCACATGAGGAAGGCAATAGTTGATGCACTAAATATCACTAAATGATTTCATGCGATTGGATTTCCAAGCTTCAAGTCATCTTAGTGCTACTTAGCTACTCAGGATTGTGATCATCCCTTTCACCCTTCGCAGCAAGATCTCCCAGCATGTTGTACTGCGTGTCCAAGGTTTGGAGGTCGGAGTTCAGCTGGTGGACGGCCCTGCAGTGAACACTTCAGATTCAGCTTCAGAGGCTGCGAAAGGGCACATGATGGCTTAAAGAAAAACACTGTTGCATGGTAGCTCCATTGATTTAAACCTAGAAACTTTTTGGCCGTAGGGCAATCTGTGAAGTTCTTTTGCAAGTCTGCCATCAACCCTCGCACTTTGGCACATTTGGCCAACACAGATTCCACATGCTTGCCGAACACATCCTTGGCCCTGGTTGCCTGCCACGAAAGATGTCATCACATAAACATGCAAGTATATAGGCATGCAGATAACTATGCAGAGAGATATAGAGATATATAGAGGAATCGATAAAGATAATCTCAAGGCCTAATGTGCAGAGTAGCGCATGCATTTGAAGAAGACAGTCGGTTCAGAAAGTATCACAAATTAGTGACATGTCAACCCTGCAAAATCAATTTCACTGCCTGTTTTGTTGCGGCAGCTGCAGCCGAAGTCATTGCCGTTGCACGACTTGCATCAGCATCCACCCGGGTGAGCTTAACGCTTCCCAACGTTGCTGGTCCCTCATCCTGCCAGGTCACTGGGAAGAGGATTTGATGTGGATTGGATTCATTTGAACGATGAAACTCGGCACAAAGCTTTTGACTGCATGGGAAGTCATAGAGCGATCACCTTAAGAACTGGTACAACGATTGTGTGTGAATATATGGGAGTAAATTGGATCTTTTTGAACAATGGGCTTTTATCATTTTCACCCATGAAGTGGCGACTATATATATTTGATCGAAGTAACCTGTGAAAATTGTTCAGCTGATGGACCACAATTCATCCACATCCCTTACCAATGAAATTGCAGTTCCAGAATGTTTGACTTAATGCATGATGGTCCTCACCAAGTGGAGTGGATCCGCCTCGCAAACTTTGATGGCGCCGTCGATCTTCTTCCTTAGCACATTGGCCAGGAACAGTAAAAAACAAAATAATACTAACAGATCATTACGAAGTCGTATTTTGGATTCCAACATCTACCACATAAGATTGAAGGAATACATGTGTGGGACACTGGGTTTTCACTTGTATGCATGAAAGGGTCTTGTTCCACTTCAGAACCTTAGACATATCCTCCCGGGAGTACCAGCCGTTTCCCACGTTGCTCGACTTGGAGTCCGACTTAGTTCTGGTCGTTTCCTTGTACTTGATGAAGTGATCCTGTCAGGAAAGATCTGCGGGGTGCAATGCATCTTTACTTTGGCAAAGTCTGGAAGTTGGAATGTGAATGGCCAAATCTATGGAGATTGACACTTGGAAAGCATTGATACAAAAGAAGGTTTGGGTGATGGTCTCCTTCGAGAAGTTGCATGCCTCAAATTGGCGTGCAAGCTTCATGTGGTCACCGTTTTTCCACTCGTTGTGGAGCCAGTCAGGAACCTGTAAACGGCCACCCTTTTTCACCTCACACAATCTTCTCAACTTCGCTTTCAGCGCGTTCTCTTCCTTGGCATATTGACCATGACAATGGCCACCAAGATAGGGCAATTCACAAGTTGGGTTTTTCCACATATGTATTTTTTTTAATGAAGTGTTGGGCCATCAAGAATATACGTTAACCCAAATGTTATGATGATATATTTGCCCAAGAAAAATATGATAGATATTATATAATTGAGTCTAGTGTCATTCTTCACCTTCTTAGCTTGATCCAAAAGTTCCTCCACAGAAGGGGCATCAGGATCGGCTTCGCCAATCTTGGCTGCTTTAACTTCATCAGGACCTGAAGCATCATCCAAAGATCTTTTCCTGGAGTTTCCATCCTCACTTGTGGCAAGCGCCCCGCCAAGGAGCTGCATTGCAAGGGATGAATCGATCTCCCCATTCCGGTACATGCCCATGATGCGACTTGTGACCTTGGCAAACGCTTGGGCTGAGGATTAGCAAGGGATATGCAAAACCCCAACCCAAGGACTACTATTATCTGTTACTGCTTACATTCAACCCTATATAACTGAATAATCTTGTTGGGAACAAAACTCCAGTAACATACATGTTAAATTGCTATAAGTCAACTGTATTGTCTTTGGGGTTGGTCAAGTTCGAACAGAATTGTCAGCTTCTCAGCATGGTGCTAGAAAATTACAGTTCTACTACCTGTGTACCAACGCACTATTGGCATATACCAGTAAGAAGTCGATACCCAAAACACATATTTTTTTAGTGTCGAAGATCTGCATGAAACCATAACAAAGTTTTAGTTATGACATAATTTACCATCAAAGGGCATCATCCTGACTCTTCGAAACTGAAGTAAGCTCTGACGTACTTGGGGAAGTTGGCGCCGGTGATCCTTTCGACCCAGACGGGACTGACAAAGCATCTTCCACCTGGGAATCCGTTGCTGGCACCGTCTCGGCATCGTAGAGCTTTTTATTCTGGGGAGTAGCCTCAGGAAGCAATGGACAGAACAAGCAAACCCTCAAGCCACCCAATACGCCTTTGAAACTAGAACTGTTGTAAATGATGGACACAAGGTCAAACTTAATAATCCTGGAATGCTCAGATGTTTCTATTCCATACCCGAAGTCAAGAGATAGAAGAACTCATGCCAAACAAATCAACATTGAATAGGCGTTGGCAGTCAAGCGCTCCCCTTATAGATTCTGAAGCTAGCATGTCTGACACCATAAATGAGCCCAGTCAGAGCCAACCAAAGCAGCCAAGAGACCACTGGTCGAGAATTGTCATTCAGCAACTCTTCCAAGGACTTTGCCTCAGAGGATCAAACTGTTCTCTTGAAAGAATGGGGACGAGAATGGATCGGTTTTGGAACATGCATGCAGTAGCAACAATCAAAATCATACTTCTTGGTTGTGTGCCGGGTTTCAAGCCACGCAGTTGGCAGGGCTTTGTTGTGTCCAAAAAAATATTCAAAAACATGTTCCTGACACAAGATTATCCCAAATCACTGAAACAGGGCCCCAGCGGTACTGGTTTGAGCATCGAAATCAACCAGTTGTCGTTCCAGCTCCTGAGGGATGTGGTGGTGTAGCCCCAAAAACATATATAAAAATGTAGGCCATTCGTTGCAAGAGTCATCAAAAATCAACCACTTGCATGTTCACACCTTCCAAACTTTGAATTAACCCCCGATGCTCCTGTAACTCCTCGAGATTATCAGGAAGTTTGGCATCAGAATCCAGCAGAATATGGGATAAGCCACGGGAAAGATCTGTAGTGGAATGAGCACGGGAAACCATTGTCCGGGCTGTATCAGCACGGCACAACATACTCAGGGGCTTTTCAAAGGAACTCGCGATCCCAAAATGCTTTCACAAATAAACTTTATTTGGTTGTCGTGCATGCAAATGATCACAAGACCGCTGCCACCAGCTTGAAGATGTATATCATGGATTTCATCGTGAGCAATCAATGAACCTGATAATTTGCGGCTCAACATTTTCTCCCCAAGACCAAATTGGATATAATTGGATGAATTGTGCCCTATGTAGAGCTGGCCTTCGAATTTGCGAAACGCTGGCTGACCACAACTATTGAAATTTGTTGCGAAGTGCCGGTCCCGAAAACGTAGCTGGAAATGATCTTAGTTTAATATAAATCCTTCAAATCTCAACAAAAAGTTATCTTAAATTCATTGAAAAAAACATAGGTTTTATGCAAAAAAAACATAATCAATTATGGGTATTTTACGGGGTTTTATGGGTATTTTACGGGTTGATTACGGGTCTCCAAATTATGGGTATTTTACGGTTTAAAAAGATAGGTTTTTTTATGTTTGGTTACGGGTTCATTACGGAACGATTATGGGTTAAATAAAAATAGATGTTTTTTTTTAAAAAAAGTAAGGTTAAATTAAGTTTCGCTACGGTTTTTTTACGGTTGGTTACGGTTGATTATGGGTTACGGGGTATTATGGGTTAAAAACTCTGAATTTGTATCTTGAAGGTGTTTTTGATGATGTTGAACTACATGAAATTGCTATTGCCTCTTTCGGGACCGATCGGCAACAAAGGAACCTTGACAGCGCAGCCTAGACTCCTTAGAGTTTTCGGGGAATGTAATCTCTAAACTCTTCGGGAATCTTCAAATCTTTCCCGGCACGGACATAGTGACACACCTGGCTCATATGGGCCTCATCCCACATATCATCAAAGCTCATCTGGCTAAAGGTTGAGCAGGCTGGTGGAAAGACCGCAGGGCTGATTGGCATGCCGGTCTTTGTAGAAATCAGACCGTCAAACATCTCCACCAATTTCTGTCCAAACTTGCTGGGATAGTGCCTTAGCCCGGAGCTGCGATTCTAGAAGACAGAGCTGCATGGCTCTAGCGATGACCTTTGAAATTGTTGAATCCGTTTGTGATATATTTTTTGTCCAACATAAAAGTATATAACTATAAGCTCGATTCCTGAATTAATTAGGTTTCCCACTATATACGGTTCCCATGTGTTAACTGAAGAAATATATTGGCGATGGTTGGGATTGGTGAGCAAGACTGTGACCCCACCAAAAGCACAATGCAGAAAACATATCTTGACATGTGATTGGAACAAATAAGCCCCTCACTCACTCGAGCGTAAGGCCTTTGTGCCTTTCCACCTCTTCTTGCCTTTGGAATCTATGTAGTGCTCTACCAGTTTCTGATGGCGGCCATCTTTTTCAAGCTCTTGTTTTTTCTTCAACCACTTCTTCATGCAGAATTTCCCAAGGTTGAGTTTGGAAATGTCAGGACTGTTTGACAGCGCGTAATGTTTTTTCGGAGTAGGTCCTCCGTAGTGGATCATGTGCCAGCACACTTTGCTGACCTGAAGCGAGCAGGAATATCAAGACAATTGTTGGTTTCAAAATGGGTGAGCTGGAATCCATATTGTAGGAATTGTTCAACAAATATGGTGGTAATATAATAAGGACCAAACAGTGTTCAACTTCCACATGGGTTCTAGTATGAAACAACAATTCCAAATTACTTTTTAATACCTAATAAGGATAAGTATCAAATTATATCGAATGGAGAAACCCAGCTGTTGATTCTTTAAGGATGTAACCAGATAAAGTCCTCCCGGGTCCCCTCCACTCTAATTTGGGTGCAGAAAATCCCGTGTGTCCCAAACAGCATGGTTTCAAACTGCCTGGCTGCCTAGCTTAGGTTGCAGGGTGCACCATACCAACAATTTGCGTAACTTGGACTGACAAGATCTGGATATGGCAAATGGGATGGGTGAGGCTGCTGGTCAAGGGACAGCACCATTACATTGCTGAATCATCATGACCAGTTCTCGAAATCTTGGGTAGAACTCAAAGAATGAAGAATGGGGTTGTTCCACCACCACGCATCCGTTGAGGCAAATCGCAACCATCATCAGAAGTATCATCCTAAGGACGGAACATTGCACACGCACACACACACACCCACATAAAGAAAAAACAATTTTCCCCAAACACATGGTTTGCTGATCTATTGTTCCCATATCCACATGTGCATGCATGCAACAACATGCATAATACAGTTGAAGCTCCGGCTAGCCAAGCAGTTTCCTTCCCGAACACTACGAAATTCAGTGTTTCCAATGGAAGAGCATGCTGACCTTGATGAAGTGCCAGAATTTACAGTGGTCCAAGAAGAACACTTTAAACCAAAGTGCGCAAGCCATCCCAACTCCTCATCACCGCGGAGCATCACAGACAGAGCGGTCCTGAGTAAACAGGTGCAATATGCACTACGCAAGATCATACACGAAAAGAGCAAAGCTAATCAAACACTGACTATAAAAACATATTTGTGCAACAGCTCCAAACTTCTAAACTGAAGACATTACAACTATTAGTGAAACAGAGCAAGCAATATGAGGCTAGGTTCGCAAAACCAGCAGGCGTACACAAATCCATTGGATTCTGACCACCATCCCCCTTGTCCATATAAAGAAGATCCATCTTGGCAGATCGCATCTGGGAACAGCGAAACATGCGAGTCATCTCTGCGCGACCTGCAAAGGTCTCCACAAATGAGAAACTCGAATGGTCCTGCAAATCAAGTGGCCATGGGATGGTTTGGGGAGGTTATGTGACCAGGCTTGGGATATAGAATTGGGATTGAATATCAAACATTATAGAATGGGCTAGCGCCCGGGTGCCGCCGACCCCCCCTATTTGGGGGGTCCTGCAGAGAGAGGGAGAGAGATAGATAGATGGATGGATGGATGGATGGATAGATAGGTAGAGAGATAGAGAGAGAGAGAGAGATAGACAGATAGATAGATAGACAGTTGGATAGACAGATAAGTAGATGGAGAGATAGATGGATAGATAGCTGGAGATAGATAGATAGATGGATAGATAGATAGAGAGGGAGAGATAGATAGAGGGGGAGAGAAAGATAGAGAGGGAGAGATAGATAGATAGAGAGGGAGAGATAGATACTCCGACGGCATCCGACGGCATCAGCGGTTCAGTGGGTCAGTGGCGCGTCGCTTCCGGCGGGCCGTGCTGAGGTCGATGGTGGTACATGGTGGGACAGACATGGACATATATGTTTTGATATGCCCCAACATGCCGCAATTCAATCACAAGGTGCAATGTGTATGCAATGAGTATGACGCTACAAATTTGAAGTCAGACCTCAGTTCATATTTTTAAGCATATTTGGCCTCCTATCATTGTATGATTGGTGGTAGAGTATCATTGATTTTGAAACTCAGGGATAATCAAGGGTACTGATCTCCGGAAGCTGCTGAGCTTGCCGCGCCAGGGCCACGAGTTGTGGCGCCTCATCATCGCCTTTTGCGGGCTGGCAAACGGCAGGCTTGAACCACCATAAAAGGACAATGCCGGGGCTGGCAAACGGCATGGGAGCTGCAGGGAAGCATTTGGGGGGTTTTGCGGGCTGGCAAACGGCAGGCTTGAACCACCATAAAAGGACAATGCCGGGGCTGGCAAACGGCATGGGAGCTGCAGGGAAGCATTTGGGGGGTTTTGCGGGCGGGCAAACGGCAGGCTTGAACCACCATAAAAGGACAATGCCGGGGCTGGCAAACGGCATGGGAGCTGCAGGGAAGCATTTGGGGGGTTTTGCGGGCTGGCAAACGGCAGGCTTGAACCACCATAAAAGGACAATGCCGGGGCTGGCAAACGGCATGGGAGCTGCAAGGAAGCATTTGGGGGGTTTAGGCTTGAACCACCATAAAAGGACAATGCCGGAGCTGGCAAACGGCATGGGAGCTGCAGGGAAGCATTTGGGGGGTTTTGCGGGCTGGCAAACGGCAGGCTTGAACTCCCTGAAAAACAGATGGCAGGGGCATGTAGCTGTAAGAGTTGTTGCCTTGGAGGCCTGCGGAAGTTTGGAGGGTTTCAGGCCGGTCAAACGGCAGTCTTGAACTCCCTGAAAAACAGATGGCAGGGGCATGTAGCTGTAAGAGTTGTTGCCTTGGAGGCCTGCGGAAGCGTTTGGAGGGTTTCAGGCCGGTCAAACGGCAGTCTTGAACTCCCTGAAAAACAGATGGCAGGGGCATGTAGCTGTAAGAGTTGTTGCCTTGGAGGCCTGCGGAAGCGTTTGGGGGGTTTGAGGCCGGGCAAACGGCAGTCTTGAACCCCCTGAAAAACAGATGGCAGGGGCATGTAGGTGTAAGAGTTCGGCAGGAGCATGTAGATGGCTGGGGCATGTAGCTGGCAGAGGTGTTGTCTTGATGGCGTGTGCCTTTGCTTGCGACCCGAGAGCCAAGTTCCACACCTCCGGTGGTCCCAGGCGCCGCCCCTGCCTTGGCAAAGGCCGGGGTCGGCGGATATGGATATGATATAGGTACATATATGGTACATGAAACTATCCCACATTATTTCAGGAGATTTCAGTTTAAATGACAAGATGTGCCAGTTTTTTGGCCACGAATGGTCTGATTTGGACAGCCAACATGTGGATTCAACGAGGAACAAATGGGAGTTGGTCAGCCAACAACCAACATGGGCTTTGAAGCCAAACAGCTGGATTCGATCGTGAAGAAATGGGATGCTCAACAAACAAGAACACGGAATTCACCAACAAATCGCATCATTCAATAGGAATGAATGACCAACCTATGGTTTCTATGCATTTTTTGACCGTTGCCTTGAGACCTGTTGTCACCGGAGGCTGCATTTCTGCAGCTTAAACGGCTTAGCAGAACCATGCGGATTTGATGAGATTTGGCATCCGATGGGGATGTATATAATGGGATATCACCAACATTTATGGGTAATCACCAGGAACACCACCAGGAAACTGAACCAAAGCACATTGAACGTGGCTAGCAGTGGCAGTTCCATGATCCGGATATTTTTCTGGGGTTCCTGTGGCACTGAACGCACCGAAAAAGGGTTGAATTGGTTGAATGCTACCGTTCCGCCTTTGTCTTTGGTTCATCATGTCGACTGCTGCAGGCGGGATTCTGAACATGTAAAAGAGAAGCCATTGCTGCGGCCGGAAGGTGCCCTTGAGCCATTGCTGTGGCCTTGTGGTGGCTTTTGCGTGCGGGAGTGGCGCGTGTTGGGCTTGTTGGGGTACCTTGTCCCTGCAGAACTATGCGAACTTTTGGAGCGTTTGGAGGGTTTTGGAGGGTTTGAGGCCTGGCAAACGGCAGCCTTGAACGCCTATAAGAAGCCATTGCTGCGGCCGGAAGGGGCCCTTGAGCCATTGCTGTGGCCTTGTGGTGGCTTTTGCGTGCGGGAGTGGCGCGTGTTGGGCTTGTTGGGGTACCTTGTCCTTGCGGAGCTGGCCGGACTTTTGGAGGGTTTGGAGGGTTTTGGAGCGTTTGAGGCCTGGCAAACGGCAGCCTTGAACGCGTATAAGAAGCCATTGCTGCGGCCGTGGGGTGCCCTTGAGCCATTGCTGTGGCCTTGTGGTGGCTTTTGTGTGCGGGAGTGGCGCGTGTTGGGCTTGTTGGGGCACCTTTTCCTTGCGGAGCTGGCCGGACTTTTGGAGGGTTTGGAGGGTTTTGGAGGGTTTTGGAGCGTTTGAGGCCTGGCAAACGGCAGCCTTGAACGCGTATAAGAAGCCATTGCTGCGGCCGTGGGGTGCTCTTGAGCCATTGCTGTGGCATTGTGGTGGCTTTGGCGTGCGGCAGTGGCGCGTGTTGGGCTTGTTGGGGTACCTTTTCCCTGCGGAGCTGGCCGGACGTTTGGAGGGTTTGGAGGGTTTTGGAGGGTTTTGGAGCGTTTGAGGCCTGGCAAACGGCAGCCTTGAACGCGTATAAGAAGCCATTGCTGCGGCCGTGGGGTGCTCTTGAGCCATTGCTGTGGCCTTGTGGTGGCTTTGCGTGGGGAGGTGGAACGTGTTTGCTTGTTTGGGTACCTTGTCATGCGAGCTATGCGAACTTGTGGAGCGTTGGGAGGGTTTGGAGGGTTGGTTGGGCTTGTTGGGGTACTTTGTCCCTGCGGAGCTATGCGAACTTTTGGAGCGTTTGGAGGGTTTTGGAGCGTTTGGAGGGTTTTGGAGGGTTTGAGGCCTGGCAAACGGCAGCCTTGAACGCCTATAAGAAGCCATTGCTGCGGCCGGAAGGTGCCCTTGCGTTTGGAGGGTTTTGGAGGGTTTGGTTAGGCTTGTTGGGGTACCTTGTCCCTGCGGAGCTATGCGAACGTTTGGAGCGTTTGGAGGGTTTTGGAGCGTTTGGAGGGTTTGAGGCCTGGCAAACGGCAGCCTTGAACGCCTATAAGAAGCCATTGCTGCGGCCGGAAGGTGCCCTTGAGCCATTGCTGTGGCCTTGTGGTGGCTTTGCGTGCGGGAGTGGCGCGTGTTGGGCTTGTTGGGGTACCTTGTCCCTGCGGAGCTATGCGAACTTTTGGAGCGTTTGGAGGGTTTTGGAGGGTTT